TAGAAAATTTCATCGTGATCGGACTCTCCTTTCGAAAGTTATCGTGTAAACGGCCGGACGGCCGGCCGGCCGGACATACTGACCGATTCTAGAGTGTACTCACTTTTTGAGTACACAAAAAGAATCTATCCGTATTTAAAAATAGAATACATTGAAAAGACATAAAATTAAATCAAAGTCAAAAGCATTATTCGATCGAGAAAATCTTCTAAATACAATTGATAGACGCTTAAAAAACGCATTGTAAATAGAGCTGAGTAATCGCAGAGCTGGTGAATAAGCTCAACTGATATGAACAAGAGCTTGCTATTCAGCTTGATCTCAGTGAACTGAATTAGAACTGTCACGTCTACTCTTAGGTATTCCTCTAGGACAGGTATTGAGAACTTATCAGCACCTCTATAAGGTAGTATTTGAGAGTTAATGAATACTCTAGATTGCCGTTGAAGACTAATGAACACCCTAATAAGGTGGTTTTTCATGACTTTTGAATATCCTCATGGGATAGCTCGTGAAGATTTATGGGTACCCCATAAGATAGGTGTCGAGAATGTTAGCATTCACTTTCGAGGTAGATTTAGAAAAGTATGTGATAAGCCATATGAAAAAAACTGATGATCTACCTCCGCTTTCCTGAACTGGAGCTCCCACACATCTAGTAGAGATTTGAAGATTTCATATGCATCTTCAAAAAAGAGATACAAATCTAGGACATAAACTGATCCAAAATTCGGAGTATGATGAGAATTTCAAATATCTTGGAAATACGAAATCTGTTGTTTTCTCCTTGATGTTGATAGTAACGATGAAATATAGACAAAATATCAGAATTTTTTTGTTGAGAAAACATTAGTTTTGAAATTATTGATGTGAACCATTTTGTCTAGAGAAGACAAACTTGTTCTCATTGTTCTAAATTTTTTTTCACAAATCTAGCAAGATGGAAAATAAGAAACAAAACTATTGTTCAACTTGATAACGAAAATCTTAAGGATTCTAGTTGAAAATATATTTCATTATGCAAAAAAATTAATGCAAAAGATCTTTTACTTTCTGGTTTTTGGAGACTTTCTTTTTTAAGTTTTCCACTTTTACCAAAACAAGACAAAAACTATATACTTACTTATTTCGTAATGGTTTGATTTCATGACGTGAGTAACACCATCCAATCTTCCCACTAATTTAAAATTACATATGTGAAATAAAGAAAAAGAAAAAATAAATAGATAAATTTTACAAATCAACGTATTGAACTTGAACGTGATTTTCATTTATTTTTAATATACGTGCTCGATACCAATCTCCATTAAAAATTGCAGCACAAAATTCTCCAACAATTAATCTATTCAAAAAAATAAATAAATAAATTTCCTTTTGTTTATCTAAACTATTTTCATTTACTTTGATTCATAAAAGTTCGATTTAACTGTTAACATTTGTTCATAATTATTCATTTTTGCAAAAAGTAATGCTCCATTAATGTAATCATCTGATGTTGCTGCAAATATTATATTTGGTAGTTCAAGATTTGATAAATAAATAGAATAATTTTCATTTATTATAAATTCGTCATTTGGTCGATCGTTAATACGGCTACGAATTAAATTAAAGAAGAAATAAATTTTCATTTAAAAAAACTTATTATTCACGATTTATTTGGTGGTTGATTGAAGTAATTACTCGTTTGTGTCTAAAACAGAAAGACATTATTCAAAATAACACATACAAATATTTACTGATGAATAGTTAACAGATAGAGTAAATCCATCACCAACATAATCATTCATATTTTCAACGGCTTTAGTACAACTTTCTGATTCATCATAATTAACAAAACTAAAATATTAAATGAAAAATAAATTAGCCAATTGACTTAAAGAATTAAAAAACAAAAAACTTACCCATAACTACCTTCAATATTGCGATCAATTGGTGCAACTTTACATGATATAATATGACCAAAACTTGAAAAAAGTTCTTCAAGTTGGCTCTACAAAATTAATAAACATAAAAACAACTTTGATTTATACAAACAAAAGAAATTACTTCAGTATAATCTTTTGGTAGATTTGTAACAATAATACTCTTAACAGTGCTTTAATTAAAATAAAAAATAATGAAATTTTAAATAAATATTTTAGTTGTCTATATACTTTCCGAAATCAGCCATTATTGTAATTTAATATGTACGTATGACAGAGAAAGAGAGAGAGAAATATACGAGACAAGCAAATAATGAATTCAATTGGTTAAGTTTTACCAAATCAAGTCAATCATATTAGACTTCATTTGAACAGAAACAAGAATAATAAAATACGCATCATTGGATATTGATTTATCTATTCGTGACTTTAGCGTAAGATTCAATTAGAACATTTGTTATCTATTTTTGTTAGCGTCATATGTGTAGAACGAAAGAGAATAAGCAGTGTCACTGATGCTGTATGACAGAACAATGAAAAAGATGACCTTTATGGAAATCGAACCCATACCTTCTGCTATCCGGGTAGATGTCCTAAGCCAATTAGACTAGACGGCGCATCTAAATCATCGTTTAGCGTTCATGTGATTCATCACGAACGTTAACAATTTCTCGAAATAAATTCATTGACGATATATGGAGCCTGTCGCCTACGAATAGAAATAGAAACTATTTTATATTCTTGTTTCTATAAGACATACATCTGATTTTTCTTTTAATATATAAAAGGATATTTCTTACATAATGTTTTTTTTACAAATTATTCTTCATCATGTTCTCCAAATAAATATTACCTTTAAATATGTTGCTTTTGTTTTCGTTAAATCGTTCTTTATTTGTTTAATACTTTTTTTTTAAAACTTATTTATTTAATTCTCCATTTTATTTAGATTTGTAAATCTTGTAGCAGTCATAATGGTCTGTTAAATAAATATTTAAAATGATTTTATATTTTTCTTTTATAGACATGATATTAGAAGAAGAATTCACATGTATGCATGAGAGGATAGTGAAATTTAACCGTTAAGAAAACCAATTTCAATTTTTTAATATTCTAATAGTTCGCATGTGAACAGATTATATAACAGTACGTTTATAGCATCATAGACATACTTGCTTGCATATTAATGAGGATGAAAGGTAGTGTCACAGTGGAAAATAATGTGAGAAGATAGACGAATTCTGTACTTAATTTCACTACTTTTCTAATTGATTGTTGATTGTTTCTAGTTCTAACAAAGAGTTGCAGAACATTTGTTTGAGTAGTAACAATCAATGATTCAGATGATATAATAAGTTACATGCGCATAAAAAAAACAAACAACATGACTATTACATAACTTCAAGTCAAATTATAAAAACAAAATAATTCGTTATCAACTCTATACTACATACGATTCCAATAAACAAAATAATTGGTTTGATATTTTTGATTAATTTTCTTGAAAATAGATTCACTTTATTTTAAATTTTCTTGCGTTCATGCGCTTTCAATTTCTGAATTAGAAAAAGAAACGAAAAAAAAAGTTGAAAACACAGCTGTGATAATAATATAGAATAAACATACACACAGAAGAGAAAAAAAATAACTGCAGCTGAGTTGCACAAGCCAAACATCATCATCATCGTCAAAATATTTTTCAATTAAAAAAGTAACCTGTTTCTTTTTTCTTTTCTATAAGGACCAAACATAAATATACACATAAAATTAGTTTTGATGTATTTTAATAACAGAAAAATAAAATAAAATGTAGAAAATATTTTGTTATTATTATTATTTTTTTTTTTTACAAGGAATAAGAAGATTTTCGACATATACAGACTTTGTCTATGTATGTTAATAGGATTAGACAAAAACAAATCGGAAATAAATTATGTTTTATTATTGTTATTTTGTTGAAGTCCAATATGATGAAAAATAGTTTCTATATTATTGTTGATAGAGTTGCGTGAATATTCAATAATTTATACATTAATTTTCATCACCTTCATCACTGTTTGAACCAATATCATTATTTTCCTAAAATTAATTATTTTAAAATAAATAAATAAATAAATAAAACTAATTTGTTTTTATTACTTTATCCGAACATTAATTACAAGCTTTTTCTAATACTGATTTAGCACTTGGTGTTCGTTCAAGAAAATATCCTTGGAATATATCATTACTTGAAATTTGACCTTGAGATTGATAAGAATAATTTGATGGAATGTGATTTTGTCGCTATATTATAAAAATAATAATAAAAAATCTAATTTCTAAAAAAAAATTTTATTTTACTTCAAGTTGATCACGTAACCAACGAACAGTATGTATCCAACGCTGTTTTATATCTTGATCAGTTTGTAATAAATTATATGCTTTTGCACAACTAATATTATACATATATATATATACAGAATTAGAGAACAAAAAAAAAATTAATTCAATTATACTTTGTGAACAATTGACAAAGCATTTTAATAAATTGATAAGCTCGTTTTTATTAGATGATTATATTTTTAAAAATATATCAAATATATTTAGACAAACATTATTATTATTATTTAATGTTGTCGATGGTGGTGGTGATGGTGATGGTGATGGTGATGATGAATTTTCATTAATTTTTTTTTTCATCGAATATTCGAATGCCTTTTAATGTATATAATATTCGAACTTCTTGTCAAGAATCTTCAATTGTAAGCACCAAACATAATATATCAAGATAAGGACGTAATTCAGTTACATAAAGTTTTGAAAACTAAAATTAATAGACATTATATTTTATCAAACTATCGAATTGGGATATGGGTGAAAAGAAGGTTAATACCAGTAGTCGCCCTTCACACCTTCTGGAAGCACTCGTATCTCTCTCTCTCTAATGGTAATACTAAAAATTTTCTTTATTTAGTCTATTGATTTTCTAACATGTAAACTTACTGATCCAATAATTTCATGAAGTATAATCCATGTAACATTAGGATTTTCCCAAATAAGAAATCGAAGATTACATAAATCTTGTTTATAAATAATATTAATCATATATTCAGGTATTGAACTATTATCATATGCATAATATGGATTAGACAAAAGTTCATTATTAGACTAAATTAAGATAAAATTATTTTTGTTTTTTTTTGTTTGAATGTATTGTCTTACTTGTTTTGTTTTACATAACATTGAAACATCAAAACATCGAATTAATGTTGCAAGTATTATTGAAAGTTTTGATGGTTCAATACAACGTGGTATTGATGATCATGTTGTATCATCATATGCCAGAGTAGCAAAAATTGTTGGAATATTTAAATGAATTAATTTTTCACCGTTGAAATTTAGAAAAAAGAAATTTTTGATATATATATTTTTTTTTGCTTTTTTCGAAAACTTACTTCATGACGACCATGTTGTAAATAAAGAATAAAAAAATTGAAAATATTGTGCTAATGGTTTAACACTATCTAGCATTTCTTTTTTTAAGTAAACGTGCAACATTTATAATAATAGTGTCTTCAATAAGTATTTGATCTATAGAAAAAAAAACAAAAAATTGAAATAAATTTTTTTTTTATTTAATAAAAATAAATACCTGTTGATCGATTTGAATATTCATCATCTTGTCGAGAACTTCAAGCAAGAGCTACAAGTATTCGACTAAATCCACCACGAACCTATTTGATGTTTTTTTTTATTAAATAAAGATTTTGTTTGTTTTTTATTTTTCTTACTTCAGGTGATGTACAATCAATTAAATATTCTTGAAAACGATTTGGATATTTAACTAAAAGCTCATCTGCTAAATTATATCGAGCTTTACGTGATAGTCGTAAACAATGGGATATCGAATCAGTCCACTCATTCGTGGGACTACTAAAACAAAATAGTTGTAATATGAGATGTTGATAATTCAAAGTAAAAATTAAATTAAAAAAACATCAGAAAAGTGTATGAAAAATGGAAATATACCACCAACATCAAGTTTTGGTAGTAGGGAACTGCAGATTCACATCTGAGGGTTTTTCATCAACAAGTGACGCTCGTCTGTGGATTCGTTCAGCTCTTTCTCGTAGAAGTGCTGTTTCTGGACTCTTCATAAATTATTCACTTATCTATATTACTAATAGTAACTAGTTCCAGATTGAAATTTTTGTTTGTGAATTTCCTCTAGTGAAGTTTTTTCCTAAACTATGATCGTATTAGTACGTTTTACTACTTCTTAGCATGACACTAATTATAGTACTGGTTAGAAAAAAACAAGCTTCGAATTCAGATTCCTGACTCTCAGTTTCTCCTTTTTCGAGTGTTGTAAAAAGTATTAATGATTGATAATTAAAACAAACCCAAGATTTGAGCTCTCCACCCTCCATCACCATCGGTCAAGTTTTGTCAAAATTATAAATAATTAATAATTAATAATCAGTTCATTATTAATTAATAAATAAAACCCGACCTCAAATTTCGATTCTCCACTCTCGATCGCCTTTGATCAATTTTTTTTGAAAAAATTAATAATTAATTAATAATTGGTTAATAATTGATTAAAACTAATATCAGATTCGAATTTCTCACCCTCGATTATCCTTTGATCAAGTTTGTGGAAAATAAACCCTTTTATTTTTTTCTTATTCTTGGGCCAATTAGTGAAGCGCGGACATACAAGCAGGCAAGCAAGCAAGGAAACAATTTATTCTTTCTAAACTCTTCTCTACCAGAAAGAGAATATATTCGTGAACAAATTGAAAAGATTACGTAATCAAGGGTAGGTCGTATATACATCAGACAAAATAAAAGCGAACTAACCATTAATTCGTCTCAATAAGATGATTTAAATGTGAATTAACCAATCACGTTGCTTAATTGGATTTAATTTTGTTTAGTGTTTTTTGACCTCTTCATGTATGTGTCCTTTTTCTTTCCATATAAAGTTCACTGTGATAACATTTGACGAAAAAAATGTTCGCTAAACGCTTTATTGCAATCGTTGAGTGTGAACATTTTAGTCAAATTGATCGTCGATTTGTGAAGAGAAAAGGAACAATAAAAAGAAATTCTCCTTGTATATTACATGAAAATCGAACACTCAATGAGGAGACGCATACTCGTTTATAGAAGTTCAACAAGCAGAAAAGGGTATGATGGAAAAGGCAGAAAGGAAAAATGTCGAAAATAAAAATATCAAATACAAAAATAATACAAATATAAATGTATAGAAATGCGGAAAACGAGAGTATTTTGAAGTACAAATCTTCCACACTCTCACTTTCAATCTTACATACTCATCTTCGCCGCATATTCTTGTTTTCGATCTTTTTCTCATTCGACATTTTCCTTTCTGCCTTTTTTCATTTATCTTAAGTAAGAATAAAGAAAAAGTAAAGTTAACTTTTTGTATTTGGAAGCAATTTCATATGATTATAATGTTTTAGTAAAAAATGCTGGTACTTCTTCAGGTCAACGACACCACTAGCCATTGGTCGCGTTATAAAGAGGAAAGAAAAATTTTTCTTTCCTCTTTATAACGCGACCAATGGCTAGTGGTGTCGTTGACCTGAAGAAGTACCAGCATTTTTTACTAAAACATTATAATCATATGAAATTGCTTCCAAATACAAAAAGTTAACTTTACTTTTTCTTTATTCTTACTTAAGATAAATGAAAAAAGGCAGAAAGGAAAATGTCGAATGAGAAAAAGATCGAAAACAAGAATATGCGGCGAAGATGAGTATGTAAGATTGAAAGTGAGAGTGTGGAAGATTTGTACTTCAAAATACTCTCGTTTTCCGCATTTCTATACATTTATATTTGTATTATTTTTGTATTTGATATTTTTATTTTCGACATTTTTCCTTTCTGCCTTTTCCATCATACCCTTTTCTGCTTGTTGAACTTCTATAAACGAGTATGCGTCTCCTCATTGAGTGTTCGATTTTCATGTAATATACAAGGAGAATTTCTTTTTATTGTTCCTTTTCTCTTCACAAATCGACGATCAATTTGACTAAAATGTTCACACTCAACGATTGCAATAAAGCGTTTAGCGAACATTTTTTTCGTCAAATGTTATCACAGTGAACTTTATATGGAAAGAAAAAGGACACATACATGAAGAGGTCAAAAAACACTAAACAAAATTAAATCCAATTAAGCAACGTGATTGGTTAATTCACATTTAAATCATCTTATTGAGACGAATTAATGGTTAGTTCGCTTTTATTTTGTCTGATGTATATACGACCTACCCTTGATTACGTAATCTTTTCAATTTGTTCACGAATATATTCTCTTTCTGGTAGAGAAGAGTTTAGAAAGAATAAATTGTTTCCTTGCTTGCTTGCCTGCTTGTATGTCCGCGCTTCACTAATTGGCCCAAGAATAAGAAAAAAATAAAAGGGTTTATTTTCCACAAACTTGATCAAAGGATAATCGAGGGTGAGAAATTCGAATCTGATATTAGTTTTAATCAATTATTAACCAATTATTAATTAATTATTAATTTTTTCAAAAAAAATTGATCAAAGGCGATCGAGAGTGGAGAATCGAAATTTGAGGTCGGGTTTTATTTATTAATTAATAATGAACTGATTATTAATTATTAATTATTTATAATTTTGACAAAACTTGACCGATGGTGATGGAGGGTGGAGAGCTCAAATCTTGGGTTTGTTTTAATTATCAATCATTAATACTTTTTACAACACTCGAAAAAGGAGAAACTGAGAGTCAGGAATCTGAATTCGAAGCTTGTTTTTTTCTAACCAGTACTATAATTAGTGTCATGCTAAGAAGTAGTAAAACGTACTAATACGATCATAGTTTAGGAAAAAACTTCACTAGAGGAAATTCACAAACAAAAATTTCAATCTGGAACTAGTTACTATTAGTAATATAGATAAGTGAATAATTTATGAAGAGTCCAGAAACAGCACTTCTACGAGAAAGAGCTGAACGAATCCACAGACGAGCGTCACTTGTTGATGAAAAACCCTCAGATGTGAATCTGCAGTTCCCTACTACCAAAACTTGATGTTGGTGGTATATTTCCATTTTTCATACACTTTTCTGATGTTTTTTTAATTTAATTTTTACTTTGAATTATCAACATCTCATATTACAACTATTTTGTTTTAGTAGTCCCACGAATGAGTGGACTGATTCGATATCCCATTGTTTACGACTATCACGTAAAGCTCGATATAATTTAGCAGATGAGCTTTTAGTTAAATATCCAAATCGTTTTCAAGAATATTTAATTGATTGTACATCACCTGAAGTAAGAAAAATAAAAAACAAACAAAATCTTTATTTAATAAAAAAAAACATCAAATAGGTTCGTGGTGGATTTAGTCGAATACTTGTAGCTCTTGCTTGAAGTTCTCGACAAGATGATGAATATTCAAATCGATCAACAGGTATTTATTTTTATTAAATAAAAAAAAAATTTATTTCAATTTTTTGTTTTTTTTTCTATAGATCAAATACTTATTGAAGACACTATTATTATAAATGTTGCACGTTTACTTAAAAAAAGAAATGCTAGATAGTGTTAAACCATTAGCACAATATTTTCAATTTTTTTATTCTTTATTTACAACATGGTCGTCATGAAGTAAGTTTTCGAAAAAAGCAAAAAAAAATATATATATCAAAAATTTCTTTTTTCTAAATTTCAACGGTGAAAAATTAATTCATTTAAATATTCCAACAATTTTTGCTACTCTGGCATATGATGATACAACATGATCATCAATACCACGTTGTATTGAACCATCAAAACTTTCAATAATACTTGCAACATTAATTCGATGTTTTGATGTTTCAATGTTATGTAAAACAAAACAAGTAAGACAATACATTCAAACAAAAAAAAACAAAAATAATTTTATCTTAATTTAGTCTAATAATGAACTTTTGTCTAATCCATATTATGCATATGATAATAGTTCAATACCTGAATATATGATTAATATTATTTATAAACAAGATTTATGTAATCTTCGATTTCTTATTTGGGAAAATCCTAATGTTACATGGATTATACTTCATGAAATTATTGGATCAGTAAGTTTACATGTTAGAAAATCAATAGACTAAATAAAGAAAATTTTTAGTATTACCATTAGAGAGAGAGAGATACGAGTGCTTCCAGAAGGTGTGAAGGGCGACTACTGGTATTAACCTTCTTTTCACCCATATCCCAATTCGATAGTTTGATAAAATATAATGTCTATTAATTTTAGTTTTCAAAACTTTATGTAACTGAATTACGTCCTTATCTTGATATATTATGTTTGGTGCTTACAATTGAAGATTCTTGACAAGAAGTTCGAATATTATATACATTAAAAGGCATTCGAATATTCGATGAAAAAAAAAATTAATGAAAATTCATCATCACCATCACCATCACCATCACCACCACCATCGACAACATTAAATAATAATAATAATGTTTGTCTAAATATATTTGATATATTTTTAAAAATATAATCATCTAATAAAAACGAGCTTATCAATTTATTAAAATGCTTTGTCAATTGTTCACAAAGTATAATTGAATTAATTTTTTTTTTGTTCTCTAATTCTGTATATATATATATGTATAATATTAGTTGTGCAAAAGCATATAATTTATTACAAACTGATCAAGATATAAAACAGCGTTGGATACATACTGTTCGTTGGTTACGTGATCAACTTGAAGTAAAATAAAATTTTTTTTTAGAAATTAGATTTTTTATTATTATTTTTATAATATAGCGACAAAATCACATTCCATCAAATTATTCTTATCAATCTCAAGGTCAAATTTCAAGTAATGATATATTCCAAGGATATTTTCTTGAACGAACACCAAGTGCTAAATCAGTATTAGAAAAAGCTTGTAATTAATGTTCGGATAAAGTAATAAAAACAAATTAGTTTTATTTATTTATTTATTTATTTTAAAATAATTAATTTTAGGAAAATAATGATATTGGTTCAAACAGTGATGAAGGTGATGAAAATTAATGTATAAATTATTGAATATTCACGCAACTCTATCAACAATAATATAGAAACTATTTTTCATCATATTGGACTTCAACAAAATAACAATAATAAAACATAATTTATTTCCGATTTGTTTTTGTCTAATCCTATTAACATACATAGACAAAGTCTGTATATGTCGAAAATCTTCTTATTCCTTGTAAAAAAAAAAAATAATAATAATAACAAAATATTTTCTACATTTTATTTTATTTTTCTGTTATTAAAATACATCAAAACTAATTTTATGTGTATATTTATGTTTGGTCCTTATAGAAAAGAAAAAAGAAACAGGTTACTTTTTTAATTGAAAAATATTTTGACGATGATGATGATGTTTGGCTTGTGCAACTCAGCTGCAGTTATTTTTTTTCTCTTCTGTGTGTATGTTTATTCTATATTATTATCACAGCTGTGTTTTCAACTTTTTTTTTCGTTTCTTTTTCTAATTCAGAAATTGAAAGCGCATGAACGCAAGAAAATTTAAAATAAAGTGAATCTATTTTCAAGAAAATTAATCAAAAATATCAAACCAATTATTTTGTTTATTGGAATCGTATGTAGTATAGAGTTGATAACGAATTATTTTGTTTTTATAATTTGACTTGAAGTTATGTAATAGTCATGTTGTTTGTTTTTTTTATGCGCATGTAACTTATTATATCATCTGAATCATTGATTGTTACTACTCAAACAAATGTTCTGCAACTCTTTGTTAGAACTAGAAACAATCAACAATCAATTAGAAAAGTAGTGAAATTAAGTACAGAATTCGTCTATCTTCTCACATTATTTTCCACTGTGACACTACCTTTCATCCTCATTAATATGCAAGCAAGTATGTCTATGATGCTATAAACGTACTGTTATATAATCTGTTCACATGCGAACTATTAGAATATTAAAAAATTGAAATTGGTTTTCTTAACGGTTAAATTTCACTATCCTCTCATGCATACATGTGAATTCTTCTTCTAATATCATGTCTATAAAAGAAAAATATAAAATCATTTTAAATATTTATTTAACAGACCATTATGACTGCTACAAGATTTACAAATCTAAATAAAATGGAGAATTAAATAAATAAGTTTTAAAAAAAAAGTATTAAACAAATAAAGAACGATTTAACGAAAACAAAAGCAACATATTTAAAGGTAATATTTATTTGGAGAACATGATGAAGAATAATTTGTAAAAAAAACATTATGTAAGAAATATCCTTTTATATATTAAAAGAAAAATCAGATGTATGTCTTATAGAAACAAGAATATAAAATAGTTTCTATTTCTATTCGTAGGCGACAGGCTCCATATATCGTCAATGAATTTATTTCGAGAAATTGTTAACGTTCGTGATGAATCACATGAACGCTAAACGATGATTTAGATGCGCCGTCTAGTCTAATTGGCTTAGGACATCTACCCGGATAGCAGAAGGTATGGGTTCGATTTCCATAAAGGTCATCTTTTTCATTGTTCTGTCATACAGCATCAGTGACACTGCTTATTCTCTTTCGTTCTACACATATGACGCTAACAAAAATAGATAACAAATGTTCTAATTGAATCTTACGCTAAAGTCACGAATAGATAAATCAATATCCAATGATGCGTATTTTATTATTCTTGTTTCTGTTCAAATGAAGTCTAATATGATTGACTTGATTTGGTAAAACTTAACCAATTGAATTCATTATTTGCTTGTCTCGTATATTTCTCTCTCTCTTTCTCTGTCATACGTACATATTAAATTACAATAATGGCTGATTTCGGAAAGTATATAGACAACTAAAATATTTATTTAAAATTTCATTATTTTTTATTTTAATTAAAGCACTGTTAAGAGTATTATTGTTACAAATCTACCAAAAGATTATACTGAAGTAATTTCTTTTGTTTGTATAAATCAAAGTTGTTTTTATGTTTATTAATTTTGTAGAGCCAACTTGAAGAACTTTTTTCAAGTTTTGGTCATATTATATCATGTAAAGTTGCACCAATTGATCGCAATATTGAAGGTAGTTATGGGTAAGTTTTTTGTTTTTTAATTCTTTAAGTCAATTGGCTAATTTATTTTTCATTTAATATTTTAGTTTTGTTAATTATGATGAATCAGAAAGTTGTACTAAAGCCGTTGAAAATATGAATGATTATGTTGGTGATGGATTTACTCTATCTGTTAACTATTCATCAGTAAATATTTGTATGTGTTATTTTGAATAATGTCTTTCTGTTTTAGACACAAACGAGTAATTACTTCAATCAACCACCAAATAAATCGTGAATAATAAGTTTTTTTAAATGAAAATTTATTTCTTCTTTAATTTAATTCGTAGCCGTATTAACGATCGACCAAATGACGAATTTATAATAAATGAAAATTATTCTATTTATTTATCAAATCTTGAACTACCAAATATAATATTTGCAGCAACATCAGATGATTACATTAATGGAGCATTACTTTTTGCAAAAATGAATAATTATGAACAAATGTTAACAGTTAAATCGAACTTTTATGAATCAAAGTAAATGAAAATAGTTTAGATAAACAAAAGGAAATTTATTTATTTATTTTTTTGAATAGATTAATTGTTGGAGAATTTTGTGCTGCAATTTTTAATGGAGATTGGTATCGAGCACGTATATTAAAAATAAATGAAAATCACGTTCAAGTTCAATACGTTGATTTGTAAAATTTATCTATTTATTTTTTCTTTTTCTTTATTTCACATATGTAATTTTAAATTAGTGGGAAGATTGGATGGTGTTACTCACGTCATGAAATCAAACCATTACGAAATAAGTAAGTATATAGTTTTTGTCTTGTTTTGGTAAAAGTGGAAAACTTAAAAAAGAAAGTCTCCAAAAACCAGAAAGTAAAAGATCTTTTGCATTAATTTTTTTGCATAATGAAATATATTTTCAACTAGAATCCTTAAGATTTTCGTTATCAAGTTGAACAATAGTTTTGTTTCTTATTTTCCATCTTGCTAGATTTGTGAAAAAAAATTTAGAACAATGAGAACAAGTTTGTCTTCTCTAGACAAAATGGTTCACATCAATAATTTCAAAACTAATGTTTTCTCAACAAAAAAATTCTGATATTTTGTCTATATTTCATCGTTACTATCAACATCAAGGAGAAAACAACAGATTTCGTATTTCCAAGATATTTGAAATTCTCATCATACTCCGAATTTTGGATCAGTTTATGTCCTAGATTTGTATCTCTTTTTTGAAGATGCATATGAAATCTTCAAATCTCTACTAGATGTGTGGGAGCTCCAGTTCAGGAAAGCGGAGGTAGATCATCAGTTTTTTTCATATGGCTTATCACATACTTTTCTAAATCTACCTCGAAAGTGAATGCTAACATTCTCGACACCTATCTTATGGGGTACCCATAAATCTTCACGAGCTATCCCATGAGGATATTCAAAAGTCATGAAAAACCACCTTATTAGGGTGTTCATTAGTCTTCAACGGCAATCTAGAGTATTCATTAACTCTCAAATACTACCTTATAGAGGTGCTGATAAGTTCTCAATACCTGTCCTAGAGGAATACCTAAGAGTAGACGTGACAGTTCTAATTCAGTTCACTGAGATCAAGCTGAATAGCAAGCTCTTGTTCATATCAGTTGAGCTTATTCACCAGCTCTGCGATTACTCAGCTCTATTTACAATGCGTTTTTTAAGCGTCTATCAATTGTATTTAGAAGATTTTCTCGATCGAATAATGCTTTTGACTTTGATTTAATTTTATGTCTTTTCAATGTATTCTATTTTTAAATACGGATAGATTCTTTTTGTGTACTCAAAAAGTGAGTACACTCTAGAATCGGTCAGTATGTCCGGCCGGCCGGCCGTCCGGCCGTTTACACGATAACTTTCGAAAGGAGAGTCCGATCACGATGAAATTTTCTA